CCTCGTCCACCGCTCCCCTGCCCCATCTTCATCTCTATCCTCCGCACCATCTCCCCACCTCTCGCGCCCTTGCCAGACGCGCGTGAAGAGTTTTCTCCGGCTTCGGTCTCCCTCCTTTTGGCCACCACCTCGCCTTTCGTCGTCTCTCTCGGGCCATCATGGGTGTCCTCTCGCTCGTCGAGGACCGGCCCACGCCCAAGGCCGTCTACAACTGGCGCGTCTACGCCTGTGCCTGCATCGCCTCGTTCGCCTCGTGCACCATCGGCTATGACAGCGCCTTCATCGGCACCACCCTGTCGCTGCCCTCGTTCGTCGACGAGTTCGGCTTCGAGTCGATGAGCAAGGACCACCTAGCTCTAGTCAAGGCGAACATCGTCTCCGTCTACCAGGCCGGCGCCTTCTTCGGCTCGCTCTTCGCCTACATCAGCAGCTACTTCTTCGGCCGCCGCATCTCCCTGCAGCTCTTCTCGCTGATCTTCATCGTCGGCGCCGGCATGATGTTGGGCGCCAATGGCGACCGCGGTCTCGGCCTCATCATCGGCGGCCGTGTTCTGGCCGGCGTCGGCGTCGGCGGCGCCTCCAACATGACCCCCATCTACATCTCGGAGCTTGCCCCGCCCGCCGTCCGTGGCCGTCTTGTCGGCATCTACGAGGCTGGCTGGCAGATCGGCGGCCTTGTCGGCTTCTGGATCAACTATGGACTGAGCGAGACCATGGCCCCGAGCCACACTCAGTGGATCATCCCTTTCGCCGTCCAGCTCATCCCCGCCGGCCTGCTGCTGTTCGGAAGCGTCTGGATCCGCGAGTCTCCGCGCTGGCTCTTCCAAAAGGGCAGGCGCGAGGAAGCCATGCGCAACTTGTGCTGGATCAGGAACCTGCCCGCCGATGACCTGTACATGGTCGAGGAGGTCGCTTTCATCGATGCCGCCCTTGAGGAACAGCGTTCCAGCATCGGCATTGGCTTCTGGAAGCCGTTCCAGGTAAGCATTACTTTCCTTCCATTTGCTTAAGGTTTCCCGGCGCCGTGGACACTCGCGGGCCGGCCCAACCTCGGCTTCCTTTTTCGGTTAGCGTTGCTGGTGGTGCAGATCTGGGCAACCTCATCCCCCCCGACTACGCCTGAACATGCTTTGTAGACCGAAGAACTACACTACTATGTTAAGTCATGTATAAGGAATCTTGCTGACACAGAAAACAGGCTGTCGGCCGCTCCAAAAAGGTCCAATGGCGCTTTTTCCTCGGTGGGATGCTCTTCCTGGTATGTCCTCCACCACCCTCTTTTCCCTTTCAATGAACACTGTACTAAATCACGTGAAGCTCCAAAATGGAAGTGGCATCAATGCGATCAACTACTACTCTCCTACGGTCTTTAAGTCCATTGGACTTGATGGGACAAACGCATCTTTCCTCACAACCGGGATTTTCGGCGTTGTCAAGACCGTTGTCACCTTCATCTGGCTCTTCTTCCTTGTCGAACAAGTTGGACGTCGGCTTATGCTTCTCATCGGCTCCATCGGCGGATCGGCTTGCATGTGGTTCATTGGCGCCTATATCAAGCTCGCCGGTGTCAACTCAAGCAGTGCCACTACGAACTCGGGCAAAGGCCTTAGCGGTGGTGGCATCGCCGCAATGTTTTTCTTCTATCTGTGGACTGCGTTCTACACTCCTTCTTGGGTAAGTCGCCAAGCCCTCAAGCCGCCTGCAAAAGAAAAGAAAACCCATACCCCCCAAACCACCATCCCCACAATCCCTCATGCTCTTTTCGGTACTAACATGCTTTAAGAACGGTACACCTTGGATCTTGAACAGCGAGATGTTCGACGGAAACACCCGTTCCCTCGGTCAAGCATCTACGGCGGCGAACAACTGGTTCTGGAATTTCATTATCAGCCGCTTCACGCCTCAGATGTTCCTCACCATGGAGTACGGCGTCTACTTCTTCTTCGCCTCTCTCATGATCCTCTCGGCCCTCTTCGTCTACTTCCTCATCCCGGAAACCAAGGGTGTCCCGTTGGAGGCCATGGACCGCCTCTTTGAGATCAACCCTAAGAGCAGAGCCCACTCTACCATCATCAAGGAACTTAGAGAGCAGGAGGAGAGCTTCAGAAATGACGCTGTTGGTGCTGGTCTTACTACGGAGAAGACTAAGCAGGAATTCCTTGAGAAGGTGGATAGTAATGTCTGAGGGTTGGCAGACTACTTCAGAACTGTATGTCTACTGATGACCGCGACGAGAATAATGTTTGGGAGAGGAAATTTCAAGCTATAGTAATAATTTATGCTCACGAATTTCTACTGATTATAATAATCGCTGCTGCGTCCTAAATTCCAGCTTCGTGTTATATATACTTGTTATTGTTGTGCATGTGGATCATATAAGACAGAAATGCATGCAACATACTTGAGAAATGAGTATTACGACCTGATGGGAGTGCCTTAACGCTCTCTACATGCTCACATCTAGATGAATTCCTCAGCTTATTGATTATCAAAACGTAAAGACATGGATATCTACATGTGACGTTACCAGCGCCGTATCATTTTTTCACGTGTATCTCTTAACAGCATAGTATTTGTTTCTCCGTTTTTGTTTTAAAGAAGGATATTATGGGGATTGAACGCACCTTTGCTTATGATGCTCCTGCATCTACCATTCCTATGAACCAATGCAAGCAACCTATCCCAACCGTTTTTTCCTTCCCAAACCGACGACTGGTTATCGTGTGCAAACCGCATACCCATGAAAATTGCCAGTGCTAAAGCTATCAGATTCCAGGGCACCCAGACTGATCAGAGTGTCTCAATTAGAGGACTCGGGCCCAGCGCACAACCTTGAAGAAAGTAGACTGGATGTAAAAAGAGAAAGTGGAAAGAGAAAGTGAAAAGGGTGAATGGTAGTTTTCTTGATGAACGCATAACCCAATGGAAAGTAGAATGTGTTAGGCCCGGAGCCCGGTGATAAGGTTGTAATTCACTTGATTTACTATGTGTGGCTACTCAAGGATCCCTCGATCGTCGCGACGTTGCTGTAAGGGACATCCTGTGGGCCCAGGGGTCTGAGCTGCGACAATCTCGGCCTTTGCGCTGTAAAAGCGCCAGAATGCTTGATCGCCCATGATGATGCTGCCCGGAGTCCAAGTGCAGGGCGAGAGGAATTTCTCGCAAACCTCACACGCGTAGAGGTCTTCTATATTCCAAGCCTGGCTGCACGAACAAGGATGGACATGTCTCGATACAGCGGTGGCCGAAAGCAGTGACCTTGAACGGACCATTCACGCGAAATGTTTGTAACGATGAGCATTACCCACTGCACCGCACCACCGTGCAGATATAGAGCTCATCGGCATGTATAGCATATACATTATTCAGTATTCTGCCATACCAGCACTTATAGTTTTGGCCGATCCTGGTTGACATGCACCACACCCACCGTCCTCAACGCCTCCCTCACCGCCTCCGCCACCCTCACAGCCGCCAACCCATCCGCCCCGCTACAAACCGGGCTCGCCTCTCCTCTCACCACCCTCACCAGATGCTCCACCTGCAACTCAAACGGCGCCTTCGTCCTCTCGTCCTCCCCCAACAGCTCCTCCAGCTTCAGCGTCTCCCTCACCATCTCACTCCGCCACGACTTCTCCCTCCCGCTCGCATACGCCCACCTCCCCAGATCCGGCACGCTCAGCGTCGCCTCGGTGCCGAAGATGCGATACACGTCGGCGCTGGTGGGCGGGAACAGCGGATTCTCGCCCGTGGCCAGCTCGAAGGCGTGCGGGCTGGCGACGGCGTCGCAGAGGACAAAGGTGCCGACGACGCCGCTGGCGAAGCGCAGGATGATGGCGCCGCCCTCCTCGGCGGCGTGGCCGCGGCGCTTGGCCGCCTCGAAGGCGGCGACGCCGACGACGGGGCCGAGCAGGTGGTGCAGCACGTCGATGTCGTGGATGAGGTTGATGAGCACCGGCCCGCCGCTCGACGCGCTCTGCCGCCACGCGGCCGGCGCGTCGTAGTAGGCGGGCGGCTTGCGCAGCGTCCAGAGGCCCGAGACGGCGGTGATTTGGCCGAGGGAGTGGGTGGGGTGGGCGAGGATGCGCTTGGTGGCGACGACGAAGGGGTTGAAGCGGCGGTGGTGGCCGATGAGCAGGTGCAGGTTGCGGCGTGATGCGAGGTCGACGAGGGCCTGGCCGCTCGCGATGGAGGTGGAGATGGGCTTCTCGCAGAGGACGTGGATGCCGCTGGAGAGGAGCTCGGTGGACACGGGGACGTGCGTGTGGTTGGGGGTGCACACGATGGCGGCGTCAGGACGATGCGGGGAGGAGAGCATGGCTTGCACCGAGGGGTAGAGGGGGGTTTGTAGAGTGGCTGCTACCTGTTTGGCGGCTGGGCTGGGGTCGACGATGCATGCTAGGGCGGCGTTTGGGTCCTGGACGACGGTGTTCGCGTGTCTGGGCCCAATCAAGCCGGCGCCGATGATTGCGATCTTGAGTGGCGGAGCTGGAGCCATGAGGAGGTTAGCAAGAGCATGGGTGAAGTGAAGTGAACAGGGTTCCCCAGTGCGCCAATCCCAGGCTTCGGATTTAACGTGATGAAAACTTCCCCAGATTTCGGGGCCGAGCGTGCGGGGAACGGTCAGCCGTTGCAAATGTCTAACCCCACAGATGGCGCGCAGATTCCGCACATGGCCGGGCGTGCGTGTGTGATGAGGACCGGAGGCGTGGCAAGGGTGGCGCGGCATATGACGTTCGCCGGGGTGGCGTCTCGGATAAGACTTCATCCCCTCCACACTGCCTTCTGCAACACCCGCCTGAGAGGCTAGACAAACGGGCTCCTTGGCTTCGGCTGCTGCGCCGATACATGCACGGAAGGCCGCGACGACCACAACAACAAAAGGACCAGTTTGTCGCGCGAGGAAATCTGTCGTTTAGCATAACGTGGTGGCAGAACGTTCCCCGCAATGCTTGGATGTAGCCATCTCAATGCTCATCAACGCGGCCCAGCTCGCGATCCCTGAGCTGCTTAGGACTTGAGCCGTCGCTGACCGGACCCTTCTTCCGAGTGGATGATGCTATCTCCCATCGCCCATCTTAAGTCGCAGACACGCACAGCTCGATCCCCTACCAACACCGCCCCTTCGCTTTCTCCCGTCTTCATCTCTTCCATCCCAGATATCGATACCCCCTTGCGTTGAGCTTCGTCATTTGAACCATCCGTCTTCAACCCCCGTCACACAAAGTATCTGTCAATTTATCAGAACTCAGCCGCCCTTCAACAAACTGCGAGGTGACCGCCTCCTCGCGCCACCACCCCTCTCTCGGACATCAGCAACCAGCATCCCCACCACCCACAATGCCCTGCCGCAAAGCCATCTCCTCCATGTCGCTCGGCCGAGCCTGGGTCCACGAGCTGCCCAATAAACTCGACCAGGCCGCCCTCCACGGCTTCCGGGGCCTGGAGCTCTTCCACGAAGATCTCGAATACCTGGCGGCCGCCATGCCCGGCGGCGCCACGCCCGACAACCAGCTCCTTGCCGCCACGCAAATCCACGATCTTTGCTCCGCCCGCGGCATCACCGTCCTCTGCCTGCAGCCCTTCATGCACTACGAAGGGCTGCGCGACCGCATCGAGCACGCGATGCGGATCGAGAAGATGCGCCTCTGGCTCGCGCTCGCGAAGCGCCTGCACACGACCGTCGTCGCCATCCCCTCCTCCTTCCTGCCGCGCGACCAGGTGTCTGGCGACATGGACCTGATCGTGAGCGACCTGCGCGAAGTCGCCGACATGGGTGCCCGGGAAAACCCCCCCGTGACCTTCGCCTACGAGGCCCTGGCCTGGGGCACCCACGTCGACACCTGGGAGGAGAGCTGGGAGGTCGTCCAGCGCGTCGACCGCCCGAATTTCGGCCTCTGTCTCGACAGCTTCAACATCGCGGGGCGCATATACGCGGATCCCGCGGCCGAAGGAGGCGTTGCGGCCGATGCCGAGGCGGCGGTGAAGGAGTCGGTCGCGAGGCTGTTGCGGGATGTTGACCCGAAGAAGGTCGTGTATGTGCAGGTTGTGGATGCGGAGAGGCTCGACAAGCCGCTGCTAGCGGGGCATGATTTTTACAATGCGGAGCAGCCGGCGAGGATGAGCTGGAGCCGCAACTGTCGGTTGTTTTATCGCGAGGAGGCACATGGGGCGTATTTGCCGGTGCGGGATATTTGCGATGCCATCTTCAACGGGTTGGGGATTGAGGGCTGGGTCAGCATGGAGCTGTTTAACCGTTGCATGGCTGATGAGCACCCGGAGACGCCGGCGAGGCTGGCCAAGCGGGCGGCCGAATCCTGGACAAGATTGGTGGAGGACTTGAATTTGGTGGACGGTGACCTGCCTCAGTCGTCGCAAGATGTTGAGCCAGAACAGGAACGGGCCAATTTGTAGCGAACTCAAAAAAAAAACAAAAAAAAAAAAGAGTCCAGCGGACAGAAACACATACAGATGGGAAATGGTGTCTGTAACGGCCAATACCTGTAAGTACTATGGTGAATAATGAAAACACATCCAAACTACCATGTTGAAATCCCACACCGCAGAACCATGCAAATGCTCCAGACCCTTCCATATGATGGGATGCCCAACCAGAAATGCCTCGATGTGCTGACGGTAGGAATTCCTGGGGGTTGCGGGCCGCCCATATCCGGTCTCCACAATTTTTCGCACCCCAGATTCAAGTCCGGTAAAGACCTTCTCCGGCCAATTGGATTGTGCGTAATCAACTGCCGGATGTCGGCTATCACCTCCAGAGCCGAGACCGATATGGAATTGGGAGCAAACAAGGCAGGAGGGGAAGAAAAAATTTCATGTACATGAAACAGAAAGCAACCGTTGGGAAATCAGATAGGAACATGGCTGTATCTATAAACGATGAAAACAATATTGCACACGATAGAACAAGGTTTTTCCAGCAATATACGCCTCCGTGATGTGGTGCGTTGTTACTGTAGTTACAAAGTAGTTCCGAACCGTCTTGCAAATGCTGATGCTTGATTCTAGAACCCAGCCTGGATGATATCCGGCGGGATTGGTGACATTGCTCCTCCACTAAGAAGTGTTTAGTCAACCACAGGCGCAACGACTCGTAGAACCTCATAATATGAAGCTCGGGGGTATCTTGGTCGCGGTGCCGGTCGTCAGCTTTGGTTGTGCTCGCCCTGACTCGATATTCATAACCTTCTCCTTCGACGTTACCCAGCGTCAAAGTCTCTTCCCTCCATTCCTTGTGAATGTCCTCCACCTGGTTGACCAGGTACTGGAGTAGCCGCCACACTATGTTGCAAGTAGGCATTGAAAATGGGATCAAATTGACCATAGTCGCTGCTTAGTACGTCGCTAAGATTCATGTCTGGAGCAAAGCCCAGATTCTGCATGAATTGAGGCTGGCTATCTAGCCGCTCCGGTCCTTCGAGAGTAGCCAATTCGTCGAAAAGCGCATCGAGATCATTGGATCCTGCTGACGGGTAGCGCTCAAGAGATGGTCCGTCGTAAATGGCCGAATTGGGTGTTTGACTGCTGATGCTTGGATTCTTGACCGCAGGCCGTTGATCGGCTGGCTCTTTACTCGCCGAGGAGGAAGCAATTGGTGTTGCAAGTGATTGTGAGAAAGAAAGACGGTGCGTGGATTGATCTGCCGCCTGGTTGGCGGTCGTGCTCATTTGGTGCGTCAAGTTACCAAATGGCTGTTGGAATGGTGGATTGCTGGCTGTCTCGTGCATGTTCTTGCTCATATTGAATGGAGGCGGACTGAAAGCCGCTGGTGCCGATGGGGGATATTGGGATATTGGAGACGGGTAGGTGGGTGATCTCGAAGCGATTCCGCCTACTGGGTTTGCCGATGGTGTCTGAGCCAGCATAAAATTATCCATGATGCTGGGATGAGAAGTACGACCCAGGGGCGGGGCGTCTTTTGTGGTTTCTCGTTTTCTCCATATATCCCGGTATCCTACCAGTAGTGTGGTCCATCTTGACCTGGTGTCTGGCGGTAGACTCTCAAATGCACCACTACGACCTGCCAAAGCAATGAGCGGGCTGAATATTGGCAGAAGAGCGGAAGTGCCAAAGGCATCCGCAAACCTGAGGAACGACTCAGCAACCATTTCAGAAGGCACGACACTCGGAATTGCAAATGCCATTGTTGTCCAGAGGTATATGAGTCGTAGACCAAAGAGTGTAGGCGTCGGTGCTGGTGGTAGCTGGCTCGATTGTACCGATTTGAACGTGGGAGGGAGGCTGGCGATCCACTGCTGCAGATGCATAGAAGCTGAGTGACCATCCAGGACCCCTACTGATACATCATTCACAATGCTGAGCAGTCTGACGATATGATTGAAGGTACTGATCGTGTGGACTGGGCTCCTGTTGTACTGAGCCGGATTTGCAGAGCTTGGTTTGAAGTCAGGGCAGCCAACCCAAGGATGCCATTCTTCTAGCCCGTCCTCTGGGATCAATCCGACAAGATCGACGTGGTCTCGCCTCATGAATGGTTCCCTTCCAAGATGGGCAGACACAATGGTGTCTAGCGCGAAACAAGCCAGGAAAACATGCTTTCCTCTTGGATTCTGGTCTTCATTGGCGTGGAAGTGACCCTGAGGTTGGAAGGCGTTGTGCAAGCCGAGAACGAATACCAACCGAGCAGCATAGCCGATGAGAAACCAAGCAGCACGAGACATGCTCCCTCCTATATTGACCAGGGCAAGTAGCAGCAGGGCTTTGACGTGGCCAAGTTCATGGGATCCTTGCTCGCTAGGGATCAAACTTCGGGCTATGTTGTAAATATCCCCGGGTAGCAGTCTCGCACCGTCTTCACTCTGTTGGGCGGATGACGGATTGGCAGCGTGCTCCTGGACGGAAGCGACAGCCAGTATGCTCCAGAGTTCTGCATGATCTCCAGACCCAGGGCTGTTTGCGGAAATATCAAGACCTTCGTCAGGATACGAGTACGAGATTTTGAGCACGTCGTGCTTCTCGGCAATAGGAAACCAGCAGTGCGTGTAGGCAAAGTAGACGTCGAAAAGCCGCCACAGGTTCGATGGAACTCTGAGCTTGGGATGGAGTGGAACAGGTGGTCTGTTCACCGGAGCGAGCGGCTGGTTTCCGGGAATGGCTGCAGGGCTCTGTGCAGGTTCAAGGCGTCGCTGGAGCGAACTTTCCGAGCCGCCGGCCATAGAAGGCCGGCGGTGGAGCTGTGTGCCGCCGCTCAGCGTAGATGACGGTCCAACGGGCGTAGCGGCAATGACGGATGCCCCATCTGCGTCGTCCAGTTGATCGTCGTCGGGTGAGTTTGGGGAGGCTGGCTTCTCGCCGAATGCAACCGGGTCGGCGCCGGACAGGACGCGATCTATGTCGCGGCAGAAGGCGCTTTTCCTCCATGTTCGATGCATCTTGTAGGAGCCGTCCTGGTCCTTCCCGGACAGCAGGGCGCGGCCCTCGGGTTGGACCAACAGGCTCAGCAACGCATCCTCGCTTGCCGGCACGTTGGCAAAAGTCCAGGCCAGGGCCAGCTCCAGTGTCCGTATGTATCCCGGCTGGATTCCGCGCTTCTTGGGGTTGGCGGTATAGGTGCAGTCGCGATTCGAGGAGGCACAGGTGAAGCAGATGGGCTGGATGCCGTCGCACTTTTCGCGGGCAGTGCGGCACTGGTCGCAGGCTCGCGATACGCGCTGGCGCTTTGCGGGAGCGGGATTACCGTGTTGTTGGGTGTCGGCGGTGGGTTGGGATGCGGTTGCAGGGTTGGGGACTTTTCGTTTCGCCTTCTCTCCTCCCTCGTTGCCGGCCATTGCGGCGCGTCTGTCCCATCCAGTCCAGCGGGCGAGATGCTACGGTCGTCGGGTGGGCTCGATCGGGTGAGAGCGCAGGCAGCGCAGCATTCTGGGCGGGGTCAGCGGATATGGCGGACTGGCAATTGGAGGGTGACGCACGACGGGTTCAAGGCGGCAGCGGCATGGCGAGCAGGCGCGTTGCGGGCGGTTGACAGGCCGGGCTGGGTGGTGGTCGGAGCGCGCGGGCAAGCAGCTCTCCACAGCCGGAAGCTGGGGATTGGGCCGCGAATTAGACCGGCGGGAAGAGCTCTTACCCAGCCCACAGATCTGGGGAACCCGGCCGCCGCATCGCCCTCACCTGCGCCTGCTCCCCCTCCACCGCTGGCGACCTCCGCCGCCCACTGCCGCCCACCTACTGCCGTGTCCGTGCTCTCCGCCAGCCACTATCTCGCCCACCCGCTCCGTCCACCGCTGCTCTCTCCTCTCCCGCCGCCGAGTCCGCATGCTCTTCCAGATGGCCCCGTAGCCAATTCTCTGCCGTCCTCGACCCTCGCCCGGACCGGAAACCACTGCGCTTTCCTCTCGTTCCGACCGCCGGCCATGATGGCATACGCGACAGCAGGCGTCAAGCGCCCATACTCGTACATCGCCGACGCCCCGATTGCCGCCGCGCCCAGACAGTACCACTCTCCGCCCTTCGCCGACTCCCAGCGAGACCATGCCTACTCCTTCGACCGCTACGAGTCCCCCAAGTCGCGCCCAGGAAGCGTCCCGCCAACCCCAGTCTCCGCCCAGTCGCTGATTGCAGCCCCGCGATGTTTCTCTCCCGACGCCTCAATCGTGCTCATTGGCGTTCGCGGCACCGGCAAGTCCACGCTGGCCGTCATTGCTTCAGCCGGTTTCCAGCGACGGGTCATCGATACCGACCATGCTTTCCAAGAAGTCGCCGGCCAGTGCAGCTCTAGCTACAGGAAGACGCACGGCGCTGCCGCCCACAATCAACGCCAACTCGACGTTCTCAGAACCGTGCTCGCCAAATACGACAAAGATTGTATCTTGGTTTGCGGCACGAACTCCATAGAGCGCGGTGCCCAGCTTCTGCTGCAGGAGTACAGCAAGACGCATCCCGTAATCCACATCGTGCGCGATTCCAAGAGTATCAAGGACTACCTCAAGGTGTGGGATGAGCCCAAAGTGGAGAGTCTTTTGCGCGCTTCGAGCTCCATCTTTCGCGCATGCTCCAACTACGAGTTCTACAACTACACCGAAAAACAGCAAACCATTCATTCCGACTCCCCCGAGCACTCCATTGACGACATGTCTTCCCGTTCTTCCCCAAGCGGTACTCGCTCTTCCCAAGAACCACCCCCAGGACAAAGATGGCCAGCCTCGTTCCTTACTTTGAAAAGGGCCGAGAGGCACTTCTTGAAATTTGTCACCCTAATCATGGCCCGAGGGGCTCTCCGCTCCCTAGAATCAGCCTACCCTCTTTCACACGTACCCACTACTGCTCGCTCGTATACATATGCTGTATCTGTACCTCTTCAAGCCATCCTATCAGCGTCCCTGGATATGGAAGAGTTGGAAGTAGGCGCCGATGCTTTCGAGATCAAGGTGGCCGATCACGGCAGTTTGGCTCACCCTGCTGGCCCAGCGCGACTGGATCAGATCAGTCAGGCTTTCTCCACTGTCCGGAGAACTACAGTCGTGCCCATCATCTACCATGTAATGAGAACAAGCTGCGGGACAAACATGGGATTGCCCGAGGAAGATTACTTTGAGATTGTCCGCCACGGCCTACGCTTTGCCCCTGAGTTAGCAACTGTGGACCTCGAGGCCGATGAACAATTGATCACCCAGACAATAATAGCAAAGGGCGCAACGAAGATCATCGGAGACTTTCACAAAGGCTTGTCTACGGGGTGGGACGACAAAATTTGGGTCGAAATGTACGAAAAGGGCAGGAGGCTTGGATGCGACCTCATTCGCTTCACCCGTCCTGCTGGACGTTCGGAGGACGCTTTTGTCGTTCATCACATGAGGAGTAGAGTAGCGTCCTTGGAGGGCCCTCACATCCCGCTTCTTGCCTTCAATGTCGGCGACAGCGGCCGCACCTCTGCGTGCTTCAACAAGACTCTGACTTCCGTCACACACCCAGCCCTTCAAGAATTTGTCCGGGAAAGGAACATCGATGCACCGCATCATCCTGTCATCACCTCAGCAGAGGCAACTCGAGCCCTTTATGCGTCCTTCGTCTTCGACCCGTTACGAATCTACGTCATAGGAGCAAAGGTCAACTACAGTTTGTCGCCAGCAATGCACACGGCCGGGTTCAAAGCTTTGGGCCTGCCGCACACGTACAGCATCCACCAAACCTCGTCGCTGAATAACGCGCACTCGATACTTTCAGACCCAAACTACGGCGGTTCTTCTGTCGGGCAGCCATACAAGATCGAAATCATAGCGCTCACGCATTCTCTCAGTCGGCACGCGCGCGCAATAGGAGCGGTCAATACACTGATTCCTGTCCGAAACCTCAAACCGGACGGCAGCATCCCAGAAGACATTGACCTGTTGCGCGAACGAAGTCAGATCGGGCCGGTGAAGGCGCTGTATGGGGAAAACACGGATTGGATTGGGATCAGGGCGTGCATCAGACGGGGCCTGTCTCCAGCGAATGCTGTAGGTCCTCGAACCACGGCTCTGGTTGTGGGGGCAGGAGGAATGGCGCGAGCAACAGTTTACGCGTTGCTGCAGCTTGGGGTGCGGAACATCTTCATCCACAACAGGACGCTGGCGAACGCGGAGAAGCTCGTCGCTCACTTCAAACGCGTGCTTTCTGGCAGCGGCACCGGGTCTCCGCCTCTTCTATCGGCGCGGGAGAATGCGCCGCCCACTCACTTTGGCATAATCAAATCACGCGAGGATGCGTGGCCCGAGTCGTGCCGGCAGCCGACCATCATCGTGTCTTGCATTCCCACGAACTCGGTTGGCGACAGCCCTGCACCCGACTTCACGCTACCTCTGCAGTGGTTCAAGAGTCCGACAGGGGGCGTTGTGGTGGAACTGGCGTACCGCAATCTCGACTCGCCGCTGCTGCGACAAATCCGGTCCGAGAGCCACCGAGGATGGGTGGCGATGGATGGGCTTGACCTTCTCCCAGAGCAGGGTTTTGCTCAGTTTGAGCTGTTCACAGGAAGACGGGCGCCTCGGCGGACGATGCGGATAGAGGTGCTCAAGTCATACAGGGACGAGAATGGAGAGACTGACCCAACAGTGCAGGCCAGACTGGATGCGAGCAACGACTGGGAGCCATGAGCCGGAGCACGAAGCGGAGCGGGGCGTGTTTGTTTTTGTTCGATATAACTGCAATATACCTAACGGCAATGGATGATGTTCAAGTTTGGGCGTTGACGTGCTCTGCGTGGGCGGCCACGACAAATGCGTGGCCCCCGCGGCCCCGGGCGCGCTCCGGATTTCCGCATGTGGCAACGTGGGTCAAGCCACAGCCACAGCTTGGCCTCTCGCTCTCCCAATCCCTCCGTGACCTCACTGCCTGCAAATGCCGCGCATCCCAACCGCCACACATCCCTATCTGGCGGGTTTTACAGAAAGAGCTAGGATCTGAGGACGCTGCGCTGGGGCGTCCGGGCCCCCGACCGCCGACATGTCGACCATGATCACCTTCGCCGCCAATAACGAGTTCTTCCGCAAACGCAAGCGCGTGCACAAGGCATGCGACTCCTGTAAAAAGCGCCGCGTGAGTCTGCAGCCGGCGCGAGAGCCCCCCACCTCCGTTGCTGATGTTGCTGTAGAAGCGTTGTGTGCACACCTTCGACGTGGAGGAACCTGCGCTCCATCCTGATTCCTCGTCGGCCTCCAACTCTTTTCCTGCTCAGCCAGTTCCTCCCGGTGCGCAGCGCGCAAATGCCGCCCCAACTTCGGCCGCAGGCTCTTACGATGCGCCTGCGCCTGGCTTTCCTGAGCCGGACCATGCGGCAAGGCTTCTCGGCCCGGACGATGCTCGTCTTGCTCCCGGCTCTCGCTTCATCGGCTATGCCTCGCCAGAGGCCGTATTGCGCGGTCACATCCGTGAGCAGGGCAGCAAGTGTGGGGGGTGGGTCCCGGCCACTCCAGACGACGAGCCCGAGCCATCGCCCTCTGCACGTGATCATTCAGAAGACGGTGCCGACGCCGGTCGCGCCTCATCCGAGAGTGGCGCATCGCGGCTGGACAAGGCTTTACGGGCCTACTTGGACGCCGTTGGTGTCAACGTCGTCCCGCCCCAACGTCACGTGGACTTCCTGCTCGGTATCTATTTCGAATACGTTCATCCCTTGCTCCCTCTCGTCGACCAACGGCACTTCTACACACGTAGATCCGCTGGAGAGCAGTCTACCATGTTGCTGCAAGCAATATCCCTCGTGGCATCGCGCCACGAATGCGCGCGTAGCCACTTGTATCTTTCCAGTGACCCAAGTTATCTTCTCGAGCCCAGAGAATATGCCAGACAGTTATACGCCGCTCTCCTTGCTGGTCTCAATGCCAATCTTGAAGAGGATCGAATAACGCTGATTCAGATTCTGACGTTGATGTCGCTTTACAGTGAAGGGGTTGACGGAGCTGACCGAGCGTCCATGCACTTGGTACAGGCCATTCACCACGCGCACACGATCGGCTTGCAGTTTGGCCGTCAACGGAACGTCCCCAAAGGCGAATCCACCGAAAAGATCTTCTGGTGTCTCTGGAGCCTTGATAAACTCAACGCCAGCATGAACGGCAGACCGCAGTACATGAACGAGCGTGACAACCAATTAGAAAACTGGACCGCAAGACCCGAACAACGACGGACGCCCTTTGGTATCTGGCTTCAACTCGCTGGCATACTCGACAGGGTCATCGAGCTGTACAGACCTGGGTGCGACAGTCGCGTGACTGGATTGGAAAATGATTTCCCTGGGTTTGAGGACATCATCGGTGATGGAGGAGACAAGTTACGAGGGCCCATAGTTGGTGAGTCGGAGCAAGACCTGTTCCTTCCATGACTGCGATGCTGATGCCCAGCAGCCGCGCTGGAGCTGTTCTATCACGCTGTGGCTATGCTATCCCACAAATCTCGTTCGATCACAGACCCCGTCCGTTCCACTCCATCGTTTGTCCGGCAAAGCCTTTCGGCCGTGCGGGTGATATCGATTCTTAGCCACGAATTCCCCGACGACCTCCCTCCGCTACCTATGGTCCCGTACACGCTGGCATTGGCCATGTCGGTCGCCTACAGACAGTATCGCCGGAGCAAACTCCAGGGCCACAAGAACCGTGCAAAAGAGGACCTCAAAACCTGCTGCAGCCTGCTCAACAAGCTCCGCGCGACGTGGTGGTGCGCCGGCTGCATGGCGGACTTGGGCGCCGCAGCGTTGAGCAAGGCGGAGAAGGCGGAGCAGCGCAACAACGGCATCCTGGCAGTGGGGGCAGCGGCCGACGAAACGACAACAAACCCTCTCGCCAGAATCAAACCGAGCAGCGCTTTCCGCAGCGAGCAGCCCGTCACTCCGAGCTCCGACGACGTTTCGAACGGGAATACGACCGCTCCTACTACCGCCAAGGAAAGAGGAGATGAGGCGCAATCGCCGACATCTTCGACGGTCCGCAACTTGCTGAACAACATGTCGTCCGCCGTGCCACAGATGATGGCGGGAGGCCAGCCGCAGCATGCGGTGAGTAGCGAACGATCGGAGCAAACCCGGATGACGACAGCGACCACGGCGTCCACCGCCGCCGACTTCAACAGTAACGAATCGCCCGATTGGCTGAATTTCGACAATGCGTTTGAGAATATGGACACGCTGTTGGGAAGCAGTGGAGCGGATTTGTCGAATGAGCTGCTGAGGGGGTTTAATTGGGACTTGGAAGAGTTTTCCGGTTGAAGGGCGATGGATGGATGGTGGTCCTTCGTTTGGATCATTTTTTTAAGATATGACTGGGGAAAGTGAGTTCTGTGGAAGATAGAGGCAAGGCCTGATAAAAGTCGGAAACAACGGCGTGATGCATGAGTAATGGAAGTAGACATCAAGACGCGGATCCAGGTTCAGTCGTTGTATACCAGCGTCTGATTACCGCTTCAAGTAGCTAGTAGAGTAGCCTTGCGACGTATTCGGGTGGGGAAGGCAAAGATGCTGCGGTTGCAACGCACAACCCCAGACGGATACTTCAGTATTTTGAGGGATTTGTAGTCTGCACCCTTGTATGCATGCTTCAATGATGCACAAGATTTATGTAATCATAAAGAACACGGTCGGACATGTGTTGCAGCAGGACGACTAATTGACATCCTGGGTGACTCCCAAGGCAGCCATGAGCTCCCTAGATGAGTGAAGGTGATGGCATCGCGCGACTTCTCGAAAGCTGATGGCGGGTGCAGGCTGGAGAGGAAGGGGCCGGCACGTTCGTCGCGGCCTGTTTCCAATGTTTGGCCATTTTACGTACGTGACCTGCTATTGGATGTCCTGTGGAGCACCTGGTGCGCCTGATGTGCAAGATGGTTACATACACAAAGTTGAAGGCAAGAGAGAGCCGATCCCGTTTACTTTGCAGTTTTGCTTGTGCTTTTGGACAAGACTTCTCTCAGAATGATACAGCACCGCCGTCGACTTTGATGATTGCTCCATTGATGAAGCTTGCATCGTCGCTGGCCAACCAGCTCACCACACCGGCAACATCATCGACTTGGGCCACTCTCCCCAAAGGAACAGCGTTTTTCAGCTCCTCGATCTTCTCTTCGGTCCAAGCCAGGCGGAACATGGGTGTATCGACGCCGCTCGGATGGATTGTGTTGACGCGGATTCCATATTGGCCGAGCTCCGCAGCGGCAGTCTGGCCGAGGCCGCGTAATGCAAACTTGCTCGTCGAATACAGGGATAGGCCCGGGGTAGCGCGCAGGCCCGCAATGGACGAGGTGAGGACAATGCTACCTCCGGCAGGGGCCTGGGCTTTCATTGCTGCTGCTGCATGCTTGAGGGTGAGGAACGCTTCAAACCAAAGCCATCAGCATTGCTCTACATCCGATGTTCGAAAAGGCGTGCGGCGCACCAGACTTGACATTGACGTGCATGATGCGATCGTAATCGTCTTCTGATGTGTCGAGGAGACTCTTGCTTGCGTAGCTAATGCCCACATTGAGAAAAGCGCAGTCGACGCGCCCCCATTTTTGCAATACTTGGCCGAAACACCTCTCAACGTCTGCTTCACAGGTGACGTCCGCTTGCAGGACCAGGAGTCGATGGTCGAGCTGCGCGGCTGGAGGCAACGCCGCCGCAATGCGCTCTTTTGCAGCGACCAGGGCTTCGGGGCTGACGTCGACCAGCGCCACACGTGCACGCTCGTGGATGAAGCGGATGGCAGTGGACAATCCGATGGCACCGCCGCCGCCAGTGATGACGGAGACGTTGTTGGACAGTCGGTCCTGGATGGGAACCGGGATTCTCAACATGATTGCGCAAGGCTCGGAGTGTGGCAATCTGGAAAAAGCCTTTGTCGTTATCACGTTAAGTGGCTACATGCTGCAAAGATGTTCCGGCTGACGCAGGGCTCGGCAGAGTGGGCCAGTCGCGCAGATCCGAAGGGTGAGAACATGGCGGTAGATCTTGACTGGAGGGGACTGCAACCAACCTGCGAGACGATCGAGAGGCCGGGGGAGCCGGAAGGAGCTGCGGTGTTGTTACGGCGTTGGGCGTGCTGCCGGGTAAGCCATGAATCGAGACGGATGGGCGGCTATGGCTATTTAATCATCCCCGACGCTCTGCTCGGGCGTGATCGTGGAGACCCCGCCATCTCGGGAGCGAACGAGGCCCTGCGGGTGAAATCTCTCCAGGGTGACGTACGCTTCGGCAAATCAGAGGCCGGCAGATTCTTTTCCAGCCAGCACGCCCGGCCAGCACGGCCAGCACGGCCAGCACGGCCAGCACGGCCAGCACGACCAGCACGGCCGCCAGTGAGTCCCAAGCAGGCGCGGCCGTCTCGGCACACTGCCCCAGTGCGGACGCCCGCTACGTAATCCGCACCGATCAGGCCAAATGGTAATCCTTTTTCCATGCGCGGGAAGCCGCCGCTGTGGGCCACGGCCGCACGCGCGACACCACCACCCATCTCGGTCCCCCGTGCTGACGAATTGATGGACGTCGGACTGGCCTCTTGCTGGCGGATGCGACTGCACGCGGCGCTTTGTTGAGGCCAACGCAGTTGGCAAAATGCTTCTCCCCCCGCCGTCTCCGCTTCCCACTGTGTGGAGGGATCCACCGTGACGGTGGAGCATCGGCCGAGTCATCGCGACTGCCGTCCACAAGCATTTTCGATGGCTTGCTTGCCACAGCCCAAAAGCTTGGTTCCCAAATACACGCCGTCGTTTCGTCTTGCACTTTCCTCCACCCTCAACTCGACCTCTCCCGTCTCCCGTCTCGCGTCTCCCCCCCAAAAGAGCCGGCACAGACCTGACCCTTGCTCCCGCACCTCTGCAGCCGTAAAATTTTCAACACGCATCCGGGGACCGGCTGTGAAGATGAAGAACCCGCTCTCCAACAACCCCTTCGCCGTCAAGGAGGACACGGGCACTGCCGCGCCCCGCCAAATCTACGGATGGCGCATCTATCTCGTCGCCATCTCGGCAGCATGGGTAAGAGATCACTGCTGCTCCTCCCCCCCCATTCGAACGCAGCTGGCCACTGACGCGGCGCCCCAGGCCTCGGCCATGTACGGCTACGACAGTGCCTTCATCGGGGGCACCCTCGAGCTGCCGTCCTTCAAGGCCGCCTACGGCCTGGCCGACGAAGCGTCGTCGACGTCGCTGGACTCCAACATCGTGTCCACCTTCCAGGCCGGCGCCTTCTTCGGCGCCATTGGCGCCTTCTTCATCGCCGAGTCCTTCGGCCGCAAGATGGTCATCCTGGTGTCCGGCCTGGTCTTCACCGTCGGCGTCGTCCTGCAGATGGTGGGCATCCTCGGCGCCCTGTACGGCGGCCGCGTGCTGACCGGCCTGGGCGTGGGCGCCAGCTCCATGATCATCCCCATCTACATCTCCGAGTGCGCCCCCGCCGCCATCCGCGGCCGGCTGGTCGGCATGTTCGAGATCATGCTGCAGGTTGCCCTGGTCTTCGGCTTCTGGGTCAACTACGGCGTGCAGCAAAACATCTCGGGCGACACTGACACCCAATGGCGCATCCCCGTCGGCATCCAGTTCGTGCCCGCCGGCTTCCTCCTGCTCTCCATGCCGTGGGTGCCCGAGTCGCCGCGCTGGCTGGTGTCCAGGGGCCGCTCCGAGAAGGCGCTTACCGCCCTGGCCTGGATCCGGAACCTGCCCCAGGACGACGACTACGTCCTGTCCGAGCTTGCCGATTTCCAGACCGCCGTCAACCACGAGATCGAATCCACCGGCGGCAACAGGAGCGTGCTGGCCATCTTCCGCGAACTGGCCCAGTCTGGCGTCCGCAACCGCGCCGCCCTCGGCATGATCATGATGCTTTGCCAGAACCTCACCGGGTAAGTCCACATGCCAGCTCCGCACACAAAACAAAACAGACTGACGTCTGGTCCGCTTTCAGAATCAACGCCATCAACTACTATTCGCCAACGATCCTGGAGTCGTTGGGCTACAGTGGGACATCGGTCAATCTGCTGGCCACTGGCGTCTATGGCATCGTCAAGATGGTCACCACCCTGATCTTCATGCTCTTCTGCGTTGATCGCATCGGAAGACGTCCGGCGCTGCTCGTCGGTGCGGTTGGCGCCGGTGTGGCCATGTTCTATCTGGCTGGGTACTCGAAAATGTCCGGGTCCTTCACCTCCGACTCGGTCCCACGCGACTCGGGCGCCAACGCCGCCCTCGCCATGATCTACGTCTACGCAATCTTCTACGGCTTCAGCTGGAACGGGATCCCCTGGGTCGTTTGCTCAGAGATCATGCCGACGCGCGTGCGTACCGCGAGTATGATGTTGTCCGTGTGCACCCAGTGGCTGTCCCAATTCGTCGTCGTCTACAGCCTGCCGTACATGGTCGCCAACATCACCTACGGCACCTTCCTGTTCTTCGGCGCCTGCACAGTCCTCGCCTTCGTCTTTGCCTACCTCTTCGTGCCCGAGACGAAAGGGGTGGCGCTCGAGGACATGGACCTCATGTTCGGCGAGGGCGCACCTCTGTTGGCACACAACGCCCGCAAGCGCTACGAAACCGCACACGAGGCTGGCATCACCGCTGTGGGTCTCGAGAGGGCGGATGAAGACAAGCAAGGGCGGGAGTTCGTTGAGAAGGTTTAGATGCAATTTCGGTTTTTGCGCGTTATAATGATCAGGGGACCAAAACGGACCTTCATGAGACTTGCTAGACTAGATAGAAATGATGATCATGTTTCCACCTTTCAAACGCGTCTCGTGAGAAGGTCACAAGTCAATGGGTACAGCAGGTTGCGAGGGGGTTGGGCCGTGACACGTACAACTGCTCGTCGTCGCTCTGCAGCCATTCGTTTGTCACCATTCTCTTCATTCCATTCCACCCTTAAAATCGTCGTGGCGTACATCTACAAAAGCAAAAAGCATCATTGTCTAGGCACACCGCATTGGTCCCGGGGTTTATTCGGTAGCTCTAGAGTGCAGTCGTCCCAGCCGAAAACGGAAAGAGGCCGACGTTAGCTCAGGGAGGGAAAAAGTCGGTATGCAAAATGCAAAACGTACAACAGCCAGGATTCCCCAATGGTCACCCACTTGAGTACTAATTGGCCGGTTCGCAGCTTGAGTACGGCTGAGCGGACGGGAAGCCCTATATTCTGCGACCTATGGTCGTACGTGGAGTTGAGTGTTGAGGTTTGGATACATGAAGCGAAAGGAAAAAAACTCTGCCATCAGTCCTCACGCACCACAACCGCAACAACCACTCTACCCCTACCAGATATGAATGAGACTCAGAGTGTCTTATAATGGACTACCAGCAGCCAAAAAAAAATTTAACGTAGAAAGAAGTTCTTCCTATATCCGGAATTGCCCGGGTAGGAAATATATCCGTCGTGTCTAAGGAATATGTCTATACTACTAAGAGACATTCTCTATCCAATGCCTCCAAAACAGAGGGATCCCCTGCATCAGGGCAAAAAGAGATGATGATGAGGACGAGACTCGAACTCGCGCGGGTTGCCCCACCAGGAATTGTTGTTAAGATAAACCTTAACCTGGCGCCATAACCAACTCGGCCACCTCACCGTGTGATTGATAAGCAGCAACCACCTTGTTGTCGTTATGTGCAGTGGGATGCTTCTTGAAAGGGGATGACAACCAGGCAGAAGTGCTGAAGCGTAAGGGAGAAGGTGGATCTTGGTGGTTGGGATTTTTTTCTGCATCTGAGAGGTCCGTGGGTTCGGTCGTGCGACAGATATCGGCTCTACTCCGACGCCGCATCAGCTAGTTTGAATCGCCTTTCCCAGTCTCCTCATAATCCGTAGCTCTTGCGCTGATGAACGAGTCTTCCTTTCACCCAGACTGCAGCGGTGTTCCGGTCGTCGCCGTTGTAGGTCCATTTGCCAATGCGGTCCTCCCAACTTTCCCAACCATATATATCCACCGGCGTGTCCAGCTCCTGCTCTCCATCTGCCGGGACAGCGGCGAGGCTGATTAGTTGCGCGTCCCAATCCATTCCCACTTCAAAGGCTCCGATGCGGTCCTCCAAGCCCACGACTTTGGCGCCGCCGCGGGTGGCAAGGTACAGCGCTTCTTCCGTTGCCAGCTTGGCGGCCTCGCCGTCTTCGAAAGACCGGTGCCGGGAGACCAGGATCGTCTGGCGAACAACCTCAAGAATGCTCGGGCTATATCCGCCGCTGACATCGGTGCCCAAGCCCATGGTGATGCCGCGGTCCAGCAAGTCGCGGACAGGGGCAGCTCCGGAAGTCAAGGCCGAGTTGGAAACCGGACAGTGTGATATCTTTGCGTCGCGCTGCTTGATCAAAGTCTTCTCGGCCTCGGTCAAGTGAACGGCATGAGCAAGGATCATCTTCGAATTCAGAAGACCGGCTTTGTCGTAGACGTCGGCATAATGATGGGACTTCGGAAAGAGGTCCTTCACCAGTTGGATCTCGCCTATATTCTCCGAGATATGGGTCTGCGCCAAGATATCATTGTCTCTTTGGATTTTTGCCAGCTCGCTCATGGTGTCATGGTGGCAGCTGGGCGCGAAGCGCGGAGTGATGATGGGGGCGACAATACCCTTCCCGCCGTCGACTTTCTTCACGTAATCGACCACTTCCTTGCTCTTTCTGATCGTGTCTGCGGAACTCTCATCCCGATACCATTCCGGACTGAGGTCCGAGTCCATGCAGACGCGGCCGATGAAGGCACGTTGCCCTTTCTCCAGGCAGAGGTCGGCAAGCAAGTTGGTGGCGGCTACGTCTATTGTTGCATAGTACGCGGCGGTTGTTGTACCGTGGGCCAAGGTGCGCGAAATGCAGCGGGCGTAGATGCGCCGAGCTTTTGCCAGGTCGGAGAGCGAGGCCTCCATGGGAAAGGTGTAGGTGTTCAGCCAGTCAAGCAGGGTTGACTTGCTGACAATTCCGGCGTTTCCATACTGGGGGGCGTGGATGTGAGTGTCTACAAACCCCGGGAAGAAGAAGCCATGGTCTTTGACTCTGACGATCGTGGCCGCCCCCCAGGTTTGGTACTGCTTGAAGATGAGGTCCAAGTCCTCGACGCCGCGCTCGACGAAGGCAATTTTTCCGCCTTCGTCCACGCCGATGGCCCCCTTTTCGCAAACATCGAGCTCCTGCAACGACTTTGAATGTACGAAAGCGCCAAAGTAGATGGTCTTCCTCAGGAGGGTTGGGGAGACAGGCAATTCGCCCATGTTGAAAGGAGTACGAAGAACACAAGGGGGCAAAAAGAAGCAAAAGCAGGTGCAGGACAACGGCGGATGAGGAGGTAGACGGAAAGAGGCACGACCAGTCAAAGGTCCAGGAGCGCAGCAGCGAGTTAGGGGTCTGGCCTTTATAGGCAGGTTATCTGAAGTCTGGGGCCCCTGTTGATGGCGGAGGACAGCAGCGGGGCGCGGGCCACGGCTGGGCAGTCTACGGCCACCTCCGCTCTCCGTCGTTCTCCGTCTATCAGCGGCAGAGCGCCGCCGGCCCGCGCGGCTCGTACCTATGCGCCTCGGCGTCTGAAGATTAGGCTTTGCAAAGTTACCTCAGTTTTCCGAGCCGTCAGCCAGGGCGCACAGCGTGAATGGCGCGAACAGGCTGCTCGCATAGACGCGGGTCGGCTCCGGCTTGCCCTGGCCTGCGGCTCCGAGACGGCTCACAGTGCCTAAACAGTGGGCAGCAGCTGGGCTGCAGGAGCGGGAAGTCGTCCAGCAGGCTCATGGTTGGAGAGGCTCGTCGTCATTGATGGAAGAACAAGGGCCATGCGGTGGATGATGGACAAAGGGTCCTGGTGTACTACCCCGCCATGGCCGGGCGGGCGGCGGCGATAAGGCGCCGATTACACCTTCGCGGTGCTGCCTTCTGCAATTGCGCAGCCACCCGAGCACCGCCCTCACACCCAACCTCAGCATGACACTTCGACTCTCCCACCACTTCCCCTTTGGCCCCCACAACCATGGCCTCTCCGCAATCGAACGATAATCCCCAGCCGATCGACCAGATCCCCCCCGCAAACCTCATCGGCTACGTGAAAGCTGCCCACGGCTTCCAAGTCCTCTATGTAGAACCAGACTCCGAAACTGCCACGTTCAGGGCATCGCCTGCCGAGTCCCTGCCGAGCGGCCTTGGTGACCGCTACCTCATTCAACCGCCGAAAGACGTCCACGTCCACGTCGTCGTTTCCGTATTGTCTGGCAGCTGCCTCGCCGAGAGCTTCTACCAGAAGAGCCTCAAGCCCCTCCTCGACGCCATCGGCCTGCAACAGAGCGTCGATTACACCGTCCATCGTACCGTATCTGCGACAACTGTCTTGGAGCTCACCCGCGATGTATTCCTGCCCCAGGCGAACAAGGGCGCACAGCAACGGATAATACTACTGTCGGGCGATGGGGGTGTCGTTGATGTTGTGAACGGGCTGCTTTCTGGCCCAAGAAGCACGTCGTTCGTTGCGCCATCCGTTGCGCTAATCCCCATGGGCACAGGCAATGCGCTCGCCCACTCTTCAGGCATCACGGCCGACAACACGATGGGTCTAGCTACAGTTGCGCGTGGATCGCCGGTGAAGCTGCCCTTGCTCAAAGTTCACTTCTCGCCTGGCGCCAGGCTCCTGGTCGAAGAGGGCAGCAAGAAGGAAGAACTGCCGCAGAGTACGAGCGAAGACCCCAGGCCTGTCATGTACGGCGCTGTGGTGTGCAGCTGGGCCATGCATGCAGGTCTGGTGGCCGACAGCGACACAGCTGAGTATCGCAAGTACGGCGTGGAGAGGTTCAAGATGGCTGCTAAAGAAGCGCTGTATCCAGCCGGCGGTTCTGAGCCTCACAGATACCGCGCAAAGCTATCTCGGCTGCGCAACAAGGACGGACAGGCCAGCTGGGAGGCAGTCGACCGAGAAGAGCACGCTTATGTGCTTGCGACCCTAGTGTCGAACCTGGAGAAGACGTTCAACATCTCGCCGCACACGCGGCCGCTGGATGGCCGTCTAGCCCTCATTCACCTCGGGCCCATGCCGAGCGACGAAGTCATGCGCGTGATGGGGCTGGCGTACCAGGAAGGGAAGCACGTGGACCAAGCTGAAGTCCACTACGAGGACATCGAAGGCGTCCGCATTGACTTTCTCGAAGACGAGGACCGATGGCGACGAGTGTGCGTAGACGGCAAGATTGTGCTGGTCGAGAAGGGAGGATGGGTGGAAGCGCGCAGGGTGCAAAGTGAACAGGAGCAGGTCGTAGAGCTTGCGTGCCTGCGCTGAGTAGGTACGGTAGTGTTGACGACAACGCACGAATTGATGCTTGGTTCAGACAAGCTCTGCAGGGCGACGCGCTGAATCGCGCGCACGCGCGTGGTGACGCAATTAAGCATAGGGCACACGGAGCGCGTGACGGCGGCGGCGACAACCGCACGACAGCCTGAGCCCTCACTCTATAGGGAGTTGCGGCTGCTGACGACTGAGGCCTGTGAACCCCAGGGCCCCGCGCGCATCCGCTCCCGTTCACCGGGAACAGCCCCGCGATTCGATGATGCTACGGCTGATGTGCTGGCTATCATCAGCGTCCGACCGCCACCCAAGCCGCAGCCCACATTTTCGACGATCCTTCGGTGCTTTAATTGTGAATGCTGCTCCAACCCCGAGCCTACCAGCTTGCCCAGGTCCCCGACCGCAACACCTCCCAACAAGCCTCACCCTTCCTCCAGTGGACGCCGACGAGGAGGGAGAAGCTGCTCCACGAGCGCACCGCGCGCAGCATGTTGCTCGTCCACCAGGCGGGCAGCGTCAAGGTCGGCGAGATCGTCCGGTGCGCCCTGTCCCCAGACCCTTTCCTCGCCCGTCACTAACCGCCCCGCGCAGCTACACCCTCACCTATACCCCAGCGAACGACCGCATCCTCCCGAGCCCAACCCACCTCCACCTCAAGATAAAGAACTCGTCCGCAATCCCGCTGCGCGCCGCCTATCTCCACGGCCCTTACACTCTCCACGTCGCCGCATACCCCTCGACCTTCAATCCGAACCACAAGGTCGAGAACCCGAAGAAAGATGGCATTCCGGATTTTGAGCCCAACCTCAAGGCCGGCGGCTCCTGGGGCTCGCGCTTGCTCGTGCCCGAGCACATCCGTGAGTCTGGCGGCAAGACTAGCGTGAAGCGCGGCGCCGATGGCGAGGCCCGGAGCGTCACCTGGATCATAGAGATCACCTCGCAGATTCTCTTCTCCAACAGTGCGTCTGTGAACTTCGAACTGCTGGTGGGCCGGGACGAGAGGAGTCTGGACTATGGATTTGCGGCGGTTGCAGGACAAGGCCAAGGCGGCCCGGGTCAAGTGGAGGATCACCAACAGGGCAAGAGACACGAGGGGCGTCATCCGGCCCAGCCGAAGGGCGTCTATTCTAGAGCCATCCGTTTGGTTGTCGATGACACTACCAGTCTGTGGGACAAGCCGGCACTGCCGGAATGGGAGGCCGACGGCGACAAGCCTCGGACATCGAGGGACGGGAGGGACATCCATCCGAAGGACGCAAACAAGGTCGAGCGGCGGCAAAACGTCCACATCGTCATTGTCACCCATGGTTTGCACAGCAACCTCGGTGCGGACATGCTCTACCTGAAAGAGAGCATCGATGCCGCCGCGAAACAAGCAAGGGAAGAGGCGCGTAAGCGGAGGAGAGCGGCTCGCAAAGGCGATTCATCCAAAGCAGCACCAACCCCTGGAAGCCAGGCCGATGGAGGAGATCTGCAAGACAGCTCGACTGCTCCTCTTTCCGGAGGCCAGGACGATCTCCCCGAGGAAAGCGCTGAAGATGATGATCCTGACGAGGAACAAGTCGTTGTCCGAGGCTTTGCTGGCAATGCTGTTCGCACTGAGCGGGGCATTCAGTATCTGGGTAAGAGGCTTGCCAAATACGTCCTGGGTCTAACGTACCCAGATCAGCCTTTTCTTCCTGTGAAAAAGAGTATGAAGAAGAAGATGTCCACCACATTTTCGAAGCCTCCAGCTGACGATGCCATACCTGCGCACTCCGGGAGCACCGTACAGCATCCACCCCATCATTCCAAGCACGAAGGCCGGGCTTACAAGTTCACGAGTATCAGCTTCGTGGGACACTCACTTGGAGGCCTCGTGCAGACCTATGCTATAGCATATATACACAAACATTCTCCCGAATTCTTCCAAAACATCAAGCCTGTCAACTTCATCTGTATGGCTTCGCCGCTGCTAGGACTGAGCAATGAGAATCCAATGTATGTCAAATTCGCGCTCGACTTTGGTCTTGTTGGCCGCACGGGACAAGACTTGGGTCTCACCTGGAGGGCTCCAACCATTGCACGAGGTAGCTGGGCAGCCATGGTCAGTGGTTTTGGCACGGCCCAGAAGGAGCCGAAGCCGGAGGATCCTGGCGCAAAACCTTTGTTGCGCATTCTCCCTACCGGTCCCGCGCACCAGGTTCTGAGGATGTTCCGAAACCGCACCGTTTACTCCAATGTTGTGAATGACGGAATAGTGCCACTCCGGACTAGCTGCCTGCTCTTCCTGGACTGGAAGGGTCTTGGCAGGGTGGATAAGGCTAGAAGGGAAAACGGCCTGGTTGGCACATTGGCAAGCTGGGGTTTTGCCGAGTTGACTGGTCAGAATTCGTCCCCAAATCCGTCGAGACTGGCATTCGATCGAGAAGAAGACAACAGCGGAACCAGCACTCCGGTTGGTGGGGGTAACAATGATGCGGCTGTGCCGCAACCTGCTGAAGATGCTGTCAACCAAGACCAGACGGCATCTACTACCGGCGAACCGCAGGCAAACCAGTTCTTGTCCGAACAGCAGATGCAAGCTGTGCAAGAAGCAACTTCACCTACATCTCCTCGTAAAACAAGTGCACCTGGTACTTCGTCGAACAAGAGTCCGGGCGCATCGAATCCTTTCAGTGGATTCATAAGCTATCTCAAAGGCGCAACTACGACTCCGAAGGATAAGAAGATGTTCAAGAGAAGCCAGACAATACAGCAGACACCGGAATCGAGCCCACCTTCGGACACAACGGAGCGATCTCCTCCTCCACATGGACGACCACTCGCATCCAGGGGGGATTCCACGATAAACAATAGCCTTGCTCCTCCGAAAACCACCATCTTCGAGTCGGCTGGTGATATTCTCAACCCTCCGATCCCACCGACTGACTGGATAACTGATCCGTCCACTCGCTCTCGGACCATTTTCCACGATCGTGTCTATCATCCAGAAGACATTCCCGCTCCACCGGTGAAGAGACCCAAGGGTCTAGCGCGATCTTTCTCCTCAGATCACAGCATCACCAGTGTCTCGACAAGTGACTCGACCGAATCGGGCAGTGGGATGCGGGTGGAAGAGAAGATCGCACGTTCCTACCACAAGGATCTCTCATGGCGGAAGGTGCTCGTACGATTGGAGCCTGATGCTCACAACAATATTGTTGTACGGCGGATGTTTGCCAATGCATATGGATGGCCAGTCATCAAGCATATGTGTGACACCCATTTTGCAGACACTTACGCTGCACGGACGCGGGACGAAAAAGAGCCTGCCATTGACCGAGCACAACGACCAAACTCTGCCATCACTGCAGACGGGGAGGAGGTGGAGGGCCAAAGCTCCAAGACGCCTCCACCGCGCTCCCCTTCGGAGATGCGCGAAGCTGCTGACGAGCTTGCTCCGTTGCGTGAAGACAGCATCGCCAGCGAAGGCGCTGGTAGTTCCACTCAATATCCTCAGGATCACTTGCATTCGTCTCACCACAGTGGCAAGACTCTGCGTCGAGAGGACAGCTCGCTCTGGGACGACACGTACTTCGAAGGCACCGAGGATGATTCGGACGACATGGACGACGAGGCGCAGGACAACCGAGGCTACTTCCAGCGCTTTCTCTCCCCTGCGCCACCGGGCAAGGCCCGGAAGAAGACGACGGCGCCCACCAGCGCTCCTCCCTCGGATCAGGCCACGATGAACGGCGAAGAGCGCTCCGAAGCAGGCACGAGCTCTGCTGAAATCGCAAGCTTCCTGACCGCAAAAGCGCCCCCTCCAGAGGTTCTCATCGAGGGACACAGAGGACTCAGCCCGGTGATGAGCAGTCCGAGGGACAAGCCCAAGAGCTCAGGGTCTGGGGACAAAGGCAAGGCTGCTGCTGATGCTGTTCCAACCGGCAGCCGTCCTACAAGCTCGATAACTCGTCCGGAAGAGGTGCCGTTGCCGAGCCCGTCTGGGACGACGGTCCCGCTAGGTGGAGCGGCGGAAGTCGGTTTGCGGAAGAGTGTTGAGGAGCTCATTAGGAGCCCGGTCGCAGTGGACAGGCGGGGTAGTGGCGATGCGGCCGGTAGTCCTATCACCAGTGCCACTGTCACGGAGGAGGTTGCCAAGGCGTTCAGTGTCGCTGGATCTGCTTCAGAACAACGTTCGCAGCAGCAGCAGCAACAGCAACCGCCATAGTCGTGATGATACCTTAGGGTGGGGCATTTTCGCCTTTTTCTTTTCGTTTCTCAATGAGTTCCGTAGTTTTCATACTGTACGCTAGATACCAAGAATGGACGGGTTGGTATTGAAAGATCAAGGAGCAGCCCTGCGATTAGGGGGTAGGGCGTTATCCGCGCATTTTAGATAAAGACGGG